TCCACAATCCCCCGCCCCACAACCCCCCCACAACCCCCCCCCACAACTCCCCCCCCCACAACCCCCCACAATCCCGCCCCGCCCACCGCCCCCTCCCTTTCCGTCGTGCGCGCGATGAGTCTTTGTCTGCCCGCGTAGCTCGGTGGCTGTGAGATGTTAACTCCCTCGCCTGCTATGCAGGAGGTCGTGCAAGTTCAATGCCGGCCCTGACGCCTGCTGCTGTGTGATTGGAGTTTGCGTGTCTCCCCCCCCCCCCCACCCCGTGGTCGCGTGGATCTGTCTCCTGGTCCTGCTGTTGTTTTTATTTTCCCTCCACATTCAGAATGAACATCACGCGTTTAGAGAGCATTTGGCTTATAAATGTCCATGATAGGCCACGCCGTTGGAGCCAGATCGTTTGCGATCACCAGGTCGCTATCTGAAAAAGAGCTATCCAGCAGCTCAGTGGGCCTTACCTGGCAAGATTACAAAACATTATCTTCTTGGTTCTTTCAGTAAAGTCACGTAGAAGTAAAATAATAAAATAATAAAATAAAACATAATAAAATAATTCTCACGACGTTTCGGCCACAACGCAAGCAGCCGTCTTCAGGTGGAGAACAGGTCTGCAGACTCTGCCTTCTCGACAGACCTGTTCTCCACCTGAAGACGGCTGCTTGCGTTGTGGCCGAAACGTCGTGAGAATTATTTTATTGTTTTATTTTATTATTTTATTATTTCCATTCTACGTGACTTTTCCGAAAGAACCAAGAAGATGAATCCCTGCAGTCACGAAAGCTTTAAATCGACATACAAAACATTAGTTTAGAGCTTGAGCTCGGCTCTCCTCCCACGGCCAGGCCTAGCGCAACCATTCGTAGTGGGGCTGTTGTTGTTGTTGTCTTTTTAGCAAACAACCCAGCGCCAGGGATCCCTCAGTAACACAAAAAGGGAGACATGTGAGACTCGGTAAGGATTCCTGTTTTTCGATAGAGAGAGAGACACATGGTTGTAATCGTGACGGTGAAAAGGCTGTCCTGAATTGCGTCTGCGGAAAATGTCAACACTTTTTTTTTCTTTAAATTTACTCTATAAAATATGATTTTTTTTGTTATGGCTAAAATATTCTCTCAGACTGTCTTTAAAATATCGCGCGTAATTCGGGTGATTACGCGAGGCGTTGTCAGTGAGTCGGGCACGACTTGAGCCCGTCAAAGTTTTCCAGCAACTTTATTTGTTTTAATTGAATGTCAAGCCCAAGTGCCACTGCTATAACGAGTTTGGCACAATGCGAGTTTCTGCTGGAGGTCCTTTAACACCCCTACCCCCCCCCTAAAAAACATGCCAACGCTGGGGACACGTTGGGGAAATGTTGGCATGTGGTTAGAACTGTTGGACCAACGTTGTGGCCCAAAGTTGGAGAATGACCCGCCGAAGTGGATGTCATAAATCTACCATCGAAATCCCCGTTCCAGAAGTTCCCCCCCCTGCCCCACCTCTACTCACCCTGCCACTGAAATTAATGACAGGCAACCCGATATTTTGTTTAATTCTCGGAGATGGAACTTATGTAAATTATGTGCATAATCAAGTTTCATAGTCATGAGTTCATTTGTGTTGTGTGCAGTCATTGGTTTAAGGGGTTGAGGTCATTTGCCAGTGTTAGTGCGTGTGTAGTGCGTGTTGACTTTGTGTCGGGAGCAGTAGCTAAGTGGTTCACCACATCTGCTACAAACCCTGCAAAAGTTGTGCTTGATTCTCTGCCATCCACATCAGTGGCAAATGGTATCTGAAACTGTCATGGGCCTCCCTAAGGTTTACTCAGCCTAAAATGAGTATCTGGCACAAGCTAGGAACATCAGCAGTGTGCATGCAAAATTGGCCAGGTGTGGTGCTGCTCTCTTCTGCCCTTAATAGGTGCTCGCTAATGGCTCTTGACGTTATGGTCCACAAGGTCTAAACGCAGGATACGCGGAGACTAAAATTCAAAGCAAAAAAAAATGGTTTTCACAATTATGGCACCTTCATTTATGTCGGCTGTCTGATCTCATTAAAATCCTGACGTCCTCTTGCGGGGAGTGATTGGGGTTGGATCTGCTTCTACTGCACGTTTCTATAGGTCTCTAAGTGAATGTGCACATGAACATATTTCCCCGACGCCTGCGTCGTGAGCGGGTGTTTGCTCAGCGCTTACGGGATTTTTGCAGAGAGGAGAACAATAAAACATTTTATCAACCCCCCCCCCCATAAAAACCCCAAAGGAACTGCTTCAAAATCGAACTTCCCTCGCCATCAAAGCCTATCGAATTCATACGAATGGTGGGGGGTTTTGTTGTTGTTGTGTCTGTGTGTGCAAACACACTGCCGTGAAACTTGGTCGCACAGATTGTAGAGAGCGAGGGAGGAGAGAGAGGGGGGAGGGCAGTGATCTTCTTGCAAGAGAATCGAGGACGTGTGCGCTTTACTCGATGGCTCACTGAGCGACTCAAAGGAGCCGTGTTCACGCGCACGTGGAGGCGTAAATTCATCGGAGTAGGCGGCTTTTAAAGTCCAGGATTGGCACGCGCCTCGTGAGAGTGCTGTGCGTGTAGATACGAGGCCTGTTGTGGGGCGGACGAGTGCGCAAGGATGGGGGAGGACAGTCACCCACGAAGGCAGTGGAGTGGTGCACATGAGTCGATCATCGAGGGGAAGAACTCATGTCAGATGGTGGTGGTGAGACTGTAAGAGTGGGGGCGGGGGTGACAAGAATCACGACAGATTTCACTCAGAAACTGATATTTTTCGTGGCCAAGGATCAAACTCATCTCGCCGGGTGCACGTCGCAGTGCGCTGACCCACTATGCCAGGCATTTCCCCCCCAAAAATAGAAAAAAGTATACGGCAAATGTAAATTGCAGCGTGCAGCTTTGAAACACGTGGCCTGCTGCAAAACGCGGAGGCGTCAACCTTCCGAGTGTTCCCTGGCTGGTTGAGAGTTAAGCCGCGGAAGGAGCAAAGATGGTGAGAAAAGGCAGGAGGCTCCAGCCTGTCATCATTTTAATTTATCCCGCGCTCACAACCAGAATGGGATTATTGTAAATCCTTGTCGAACAGGTAGCAGCTGAGAGTTTAAGATGGAATCGTATCACAGCCGTTTCGCATGCTGGCATTCATATCGTGTGGTTTCTTTTTAACTGCCGGTCGACAAATTAATTTAAATGCCGCGGGGTGCTTGAAGGGATGTGGGGCATTAACTCGCAATGCGGAATTCTCCGTGGGTTTCATGGCGCAGGTTTCACTTGCTGCTTTCACTTCCCACTTTAACGGATTTGCCAGCGGCTGTTCTCGGATGTACCGCCGCTCGTCGCGGAGATATGGATTATTCTTTTAGTTTTGTTCCCCCCCCACCCCACCGAGACGACTGTTGAGGTGGAAACAGCGTTGGCCGTCGACTTAGCAAGAGGCACTTGGCCCTTTAATAATATAACTATTATATAATCTACACTTGTAACGCTCTCGTAGAGGGAGAGAGGGGGGGGCACGACTCAGAGGCGCGAGGAGCAACCACAGACGAGCGGGAGGCAGCAGCTGCACGCTACGCCGGCACCACGCTCTGCAATCCTCTATATATAAAGGTTGTCATTCGTTGTTTACGCATGTAGGAGAGG